CAGGGGGAGTGGGAGAGGGAGAAGCAGGCTTCCCGCCGAGCAGGGAGCCCGATGCGGGGCTCGATCCCAGGACCCCGGGATCATGACCCGAGCTGAAGGCAGTTGCTTAACCAACTGAGCCACCCAGGCGCCCCCCGATCTTTTCTGCACTTGGCTAAATGGATGCTGTTTTGTCAGAGCATTATGTTACCGGGCTTGATGTTTGCAGCCAGACTAGGCTAGTGAAGAATGGAAGTATAGGCATGGTTATTGCCCAAGCAAATTCTGCAAGGCTCAGGGAGCAGGAAATTAAAGGCTCCCCCTCCCACTTGGTGCCCAACCATGAGGTCGTAGCACAGTCCTAGTAAAATATTTTCCTGTCATCTAGTGTAAGTGCAGCAAAGAAATTGTCATAAGCATCTCCTCTTGGTAGATGTTTATGTTTTATGATTTAACTCTTTCTGGGCCCCAGGTTCCTCATCTCGCAAATGGTAGTGATCAGTGCCACATATAGGGTTGCTATGAATGTTATATAAGGTAGTATATATGTAAATCACTTAGCAGAGTGCCTAGCACCTAGGAGACGTTCGAAAAATAATAGTTTTGATTAGGTTATTCATAGTTACAGAATATCATCAGGGGCCCACATTTGCATAAAACACTTTACACACAGTACCCATATCTACCCCTTTAAATGTAGTTGGGGGGATCCACACCACTGATTTTCAGACCATAACTTGATGCTTTACGGTTAATTCCTTTTGGAGCCAAGTCTGTTTGGGAAAATGAAAAGACTAGAAAACAAATGAGGGTCAGAGACAAGGGAGACTTCTCGGCCAGTACATTTTGTCGTATTTCAATAGGACTAAAAAGTAGTGCTCTTTGGAGGTCTGGAATTTCTGATACAATGGAAGCCTTAAGTTCTATCTCCATTAGAATAACCAGCTCATCTTGTTCTCCAAAAAGTATTAAAAATCTTGGCCATGCCAGAGTGAACGAGTTTTACAATCTGACTTTTGTGCTTATTAGTTCATGGGATTTCTTTATGCTGCCGCAACAGAAATCTTTTGCAAACCTACTGTGTGCCAGGCACTGAGCCAGGCGATTCCAGGTTCATTCCATGAACATACATGAGTCCGTGGAATCGCTTATTTTCCACATCAAACCCTGTGAGATCAGTTATCATCCCCATGTTATAGATGAGAAGGCTGAGGTCCTGCAATGTTAGACATTTTGCCCAGGTAACACAGCCAGTTAATAGCCAAGCTTGATTTTGAACCCCTTACTTTGCAGATTTTTAACATTTTAAACAGTTTATGTTACACATCATTTTATTAGATAGGCATGGCAACCGAGTCACAAAAGTGAGCCCCAGAAGCTCACAATTCAAATGGCAGTGGAGGGTTAAGTAAAATTCAGTTACCTCACACATCTTCACTTAATCTAGGTAGAAAGGGAAGTTTGATTTTTTCAAAATAAAATTCTACATTACAGAATATTTCATGGTGATAAATGAGTATCTAACTCCAGCACACATAGATCTTGGCTGGGCAGAATTGCATTGTACTCTCAGTAGCCTAAATACACATTTGGGTTGTTTTCTTTTGTTTCAGCAGTGGTTGGAGGCAAGATGCAAGGCTGATAAAGCCTTGACTTTCTTTGGGATGTACTTGAATGGGGTAGTCATTTGAACATGACCATTTTCACTACTTATAAATTGATTTTGCTGCCAAGCTTGAGTATGAAGAATGTACAGAGAAAAGACGTAAGGCTAAATCTAGGCCAGAAGTACAAGACTTCCCCCTTAGTAGATTGTGCCATTTATTTGGTTAATTTTCTTATTATAACCTAGATTATGCCTAGATTATTTTCTCTGTGTGTGTGTGTATATGTGTGTGTATATATGTATATATGTGTGCATATATATATATATATATATATATTAGGTACCAAGCAGATATTATGCCTTTCTGCTTTGTACTGTACTACTGCTGCTAGCTAATAACCAGCAAAATGTAGAAAATGAGAAATGATAAACTAATTTTCTGTAGGCAACTTGGAGAAAAGTGTGCCTGCCCCTGACTTAATGGGACAGAGAACTGACTATTTCGAGAATTTGCCTTTTCTGAAGGCTGACTGCTTCTAGCCCCATGGCGTTTCCAGCTCTGCCTGTGGGGCTGGCCTGGGCTCAGATAATCCCCTGTGACTGGCCATCAGAGCAGTGGAGCTCCTGAGGCTGGTTCACAGCACCCAGAGGTCTCTTAACTGTCAACAGATGGCATGCTGTTGATGGACCAGAATCCGTCGGGGACTGTGTTCCCCCTGCCAACTCCCATTTCCAAGTTGGGAGCTTCATTCAAGGACTCAGTTCTTGAGTTCCCAACATGTTGACTTTGCATCCATTTCTGTTTATCGAGGCAAAATCATAGCAGAGGTGTATAATAAAGATGCAAATGGAAGGCAGCCCAAATAATGGAAAAAGATTTTTCAGCCCATCTGGGGCTTGAGGAATGAGGTTTTGATTTAGGATTGAAAGCAGTTCTGAAAAGCAGCCAACTGCATGGGCTACAGTTTGTGGCCCTTCCTGAGTGCAGAGAGAAAAAAATGAAAAGGAGTCACGTAAAATGTATGCATTCAGTTCCTCTTAGATGGATAGCTCCCACTGTTCAACTGTTTAATAATCTGGGTGGTGCACATCCAGAGGTGAAATGAAGTTGTTTTCACTTACAAATGGTTATTTTTCAATGCGCTAAGTTAACCTTGAGAGAGAAGTGCCTCTAATCTCTGTTCCTGGTGTCCTTTTAAAGCTTTTGCTTCATGACTGTAGCAGTTAAAAATTTGTCGCAGCAAATGTGATTAACAGAAGTTTACAAAGCAATGCTGTAGCTTGTGTCGTATTAGAAATTGCCTAACATTTATCTATTGTCAAAGCAACAACAATAAACAACAAAATAAAAGGAGAGCAAATAGGTCAATGTGGCATCATAGGCTTATCTTAGATAAACTAGTTCCATCATTTCAGGCAGTCCTCAGTCATGCCAGGATTAAAATATCAAGCAGGCCACTCAAACAGTGGCAAATGTGTCCGTGTGTTTGTGAGTCCGGTTGTTTGTTCAGCAGCCATTTTACTTTCGCACTGTAATAAACTTAAAGGGGAATTAAGATAATGCTTCCCCCCTCCCCCGTTGCTATTCAACTACCTCTATATGCTTGGTTTCTCTTTA